TCTTTTTCTTGCAAATGTGTTGAATAACTTACTTTACACCATATTACATATTTAAATATTTTTCCATCATTAAATATTTCATCATTTTCATTATAAATATGAAATGTTTCAATATTAGGAAACAATTTTCTTGAATATTCATTTAATGGAATTGGATTAAAATGAAATCGTTCAATATTTCCTTGAAATCTTTTAATTCCTATTTCTAAATTAATAAAATCTTTAATATCATTAAAATACTTGGAAGCAATCATTATTTCATTATATCCTAATTTCATTATTGATTTATTATTTATTAGTTGTTTTTATTAGTTCTTTTATTTTTATATTTTAATTTCTTCTTTTTTATTCTTTATCATCATTCTATTTTTATTAATTGATGTTTATTATGAAAAACAATAAATAATAAGAAATAAAATAAAATGTTATTTATTTTTATTTTTAATAAATTATAATTATTAAATATTTCATTTTATTTTATATTTTATTCATTATTTCATTTTATATTTTATTTTTATTTAATAATATAATAATAAAATATGATAAAAGATAATAAATATAATAATAAATGAATAATCAATATATTTATAATAAATGATAATATAAATAATGATATAATTAATGATAAATAATTATGAAATCATTTATTTTATTATCTTTTATTTTTATTCATTCTTAATTTATTCTTTTCTTTCTTTATTTTTATTATTATTTTATATTTAAAATGATTATTTAAATATGAAATAATATAAATAAAATAATATAATGAATAAAACATAAATAAAAGAATGTATTAATTGATAAATTAAATAATAAAATATTTATATAATATTTCAATAATTAATAAAATATGATAAAATAAATGATAAATGATAATATTCAAAACATAAATTAACAATGAATAAAATAATATATCAAATAATGAAGAATGATAAATAAATGAAATAATAAAATATAAAATTATTTAATTCATAATTTCATTCATTTGTATTAATTTAAATCATTTCAATAAATTATAAACAAATAATTATACAATAATAATAATATAAAATGGAAATATAAATAAAATATGTTAATAAATAATATAATTATAATTATAAACAATTTAACATACAAAATAACAAAATAATATCAAATGAACATAAAAATAAGAATAAATAAAATAAAATGAAATAACATACAATAATAATAAATGATTAATTAGTATTAATAGAATTATACCTATTAATCATAGATCAATTGAAATTAAACTCTTTAATGAGTCTTCATTAAATAGTTCAACAACATATGTTTAGTTGTAATAGAATTAATGTTCTATTACATCAATCATATTCTTAATTATAATGTTTTTAATTTCTTTTATGTTATCAATTTCATTTTTTAATTAATTTAATACTTTCAATATTTATTAATTTATTTTATTGAAATTACTAATTATTTTATTATCTTTTAATTGATCTATTTTAATTATCATATTATTCATTTATTTATACTCATTTCTTTTATTCAAATGTCCTCATTTAATATTATGATCTACAATAATATTCATATCAAATAATATAATAATTTTATTCTTTTTATTTATTAAATAATATCTGATATTTTATGATATTATCATTCACTTTTTAATTATTTATTTATTCAATATCATAATGATGTCATTTTATTAGAATATTGATTTCATGTATTGATTATTTTATATATATTTTGTTATCATTTAATATGATAATACTAATATTGTCATGTTTCTAAATTTATGATTTTTTTATGAACAATATAAGATAATAGAATGTGTTCTATTGTTGATATATATATTTACAAAGTGTGTACTAATTTAATCATTTTTAATATTTTATCTTTTCTATACAGATTGAATATTACTCTATCTTGTATTTTAGTTAATTGAAGAAATGAATTCTTTGTAATAATGATTGAATTCAATGATTTTATTAAAATAATCTTATATATAAATTTTGAATCAATTAATCTTCTAAAATATCCATTATTTAATTTCAATTTATTAATGTATTTGTTTATCATTATTTTATTTATTTTTTGTTATTATTTCATTTTATTTTTAATCATTTCATTTATTATATTTTATTTCTATTTCTTTGATTTTATAAAATAATAATTTTAATTTTATTCATTATTCATTTCTTTGAATATTATCTATCTAATATATTATTTAATATTTTATTTTTGTACAATAATAGTATTGTTCTAATTATTTCAATAATTTAATCATTAATTATATTATTTAATAGATAATTTTATCAAATTTATCTATTTTAATAATCAATACAAATAAATATGTTAAAATTCTGATATGATTTAACAGATAATATAATATAAATTATTATATAATGTTGATGATTTAGTATAAATTCATAAATCATTATGTGATCATTTAATTTTTATTTCTTATAGTTGAATGAGTAACTCTTAATCTTTCTTTTATCCAATGTTTATTGATTCAATTCTGTTTTTCATCAAATTAACTTCAATATTTTATTGTAGTTAATTTAAATCTTTGATTATTTCATATAATTATCATTTCTATTTTATTTTCTGTACATGTTATTTTATTTGTTATATCTTAATAATATTGATAAACACAAATTTGTTGTATTTTCAATATTCTATATGTTC